GATTAAAATGAATATCCTACCACGGCTGCTTTACTACTTTAACACCATTCCCTGGCACATACCATCAGAATTTTTCGCAACTCTTAAATCGGCAGTAATAAAATATGTTTGGAAAGGAGAGAGAGCAAGACTCAGCTACGACAAGCTATGCCTACCCAAGAACTGGGGCGGACTAGCGTTACCCGACATACGCAAATACTTCCAGGCCGCAGTCTTACAACGGATTAGGGACTGGCACGTAGCGTCTGAAAACAAATTGTGGGCTGCACTGGATAGAGAAAGCACAAACAAAGCCCTTCACATGTATACATGGCACAGCTCAGCAGACGCGGCATCAAAACTAGGCAATTTATCACCCATTGTACAAACTCTGAAGACATGGTCATCCTTGAGACGGAACCAACACCTCTCCCCACAACCGAGCCCATTGATTCCGATAACACACAATACTGCGATAGGCAGGGGGGCTACACCGATCTGCTTGGCCGATTGAGGGAGAAGGAGAGTATATCCCGATGTCCGAGGTCCTGAGCAATACCGGACTGAGAAACCTGCGAGAATGGAGTACGATGACACAACAGACGCTGATGCACAGATTTCGGTACACACAACTGCGGCATTTCTACTTCAACCTCCCCAACAGGGTAGCGATTCACAGAGAGCAGACTTGGTTCGAAAACATCTGCGTGACCAACACAGGCGCGGATGGTAGGGTATCGCTCATCTACCAACAATTGATAACGGGAGACCACACACGGAAAAATGCGTTTAAGAGGCAATGGGAAGAGCTGACAGCTAGGACGTACACTGAGGCACAATGGGAAGACTCGATAGCCCAATACAAGCGATCGATATTAAGGCACCTGCTCAACGCAGCGAAAGCAGCTATACCAATCAAATGGAAACAGACCCAACCACCGACCGTCACGGAGTGGCTACAGAGAGTTGAGGAAATACACACGGCCGAGGCGCGGTACGCAGAACTAATAGGAAGAAGCACCAAGCACGTCGATATCTGGACCCCATGGTATCTATTCTGAGGACAAAAGGCACACACCCGGACTTCTTCTTATGAGATTCTATTCGAGTTTTGAACTTGCCCCATACATCCTTCATAAATTCCGAAGGACATCCTAGGACTGGACCTCAACTCATCGTGTTCATCTGGTAACATATAATACAAAGGGATCTGAACAAATAAAACACACCTCCTCATCCCTAACTGGATCGAAAAGACTGAAAGAAAGAGGGTGTGCAAGAAAGATATGTTTTGGTTTATAACCTGTTGTTAGGGTGTTGCAAGTGACACTGGTGGCCCAAGGAGGCAAACAGGAGGACCCAAAGAAAGCTACTACACAAAAAATAGGCTGAGAATCTATCTCCGTGAGATTCAGAAAGACGCGAAGCCTTAACCCACATATTCTGAGGACAAAAGGCACACACCCAGACTTCTTCTTATGAGATTCTATTCGAGTTTTGAACTTGCCCCATACATCCTTCATAAATTCCGAAGGACATCCTAGGACTGGACCTCAACTCATCGTGTTCATCTGGTAACATATAATGTGCTATTGGTTAACTATGCTTTACTTTACGGTGGGAGGAATTAGTTCATCTTCATTGGTAAACATATATATTTAATATCATAATTTAATAATAATACTAAAATCACTCAGTATCCAAACATTTTATTATACATAATAAAGATCCTAAAATGCTTAAATGCATTGCTATAGGTAAATGTATGGTCCCATGGAGGGGTGGAAATATTAAAAATATTCTAGGCAAAAAAAAGATGGAGTGGGTTTATACACTCCAAACCCTTGCATCTTATGGTCTGAATGCTGATTTTGATTTATTTAATTTTTTATAATCCATTTTTTATAACCATATGTTTTTATATTATTTCACTATGCCCACCCTTATTATCCAGTAGAGCAGATATGATGCTGCCCTTTACCTGCCTGCTTCTCTTCCCATCATGTTTTTATTTTATATTTATATTTATTCTTATTTTTATTCCATATTTCCTTATATCTGTCAGCTCCATTTATTTTATTTTATTTTATTCCACTTATATATGATTTCAATATTATTTGTTTCTTTTCTTTTCCCCCTTCTTTCCATTCAGCCTTATATAGCTATGTAGCATCTCCATGACGACGGCCACAGCGTTGTGTGAGCCGTCGTCTACTTTCTTTCTGATGACGGCGGCCACTGTCTTGTGCGTGCCGCCGTCACCAGTACACCCGCCCCTCGCTCCTCCTACTGGCGTCTGGACGCATCTGTTATGCGAACAGACGCCAGCCACCAGTTCCCTCTCATGACGCCGGCGGCTGCGCAGTGCCGGCCGGCGTCAAACTACATACCCCATAACCCCTTGCGGCTGTGATGCCGGTCATGTGACCGTGCACTTTAGAATCTTTTTTCTTTTTTTAAATAACCACTGATCGTTTTTAAAGTCTAATCACATAACGTATAATGTCTATTTTAGCTTTACTTTAATACATACTATTGTTTATGTTTTACTAGTGTTATACTGTATGTAATCTGTTACTGCAATCTGATTGGCTGTCCAAATTTTGGCGCCAATTTTTGAGTCAATTGAGTATGCTATTTAAATGTTCTTCTGCCAGGTATCAGGTCCTTTACCCATATTGATAACGCCGATTGGCGAAACGCGTTTATGGTTTTTTTATATTGTGTAATGTTACAATTAAAGTATATTTTATAATCTTTTATTGTACTACTTATCTTTTAATACACATATAATTATTATTACTACCTGGCATCATTCGCTGGACTCCAAGCAATCCTAGGTGGGGATTATTCCACCAGTGCGAAATATCAGGAGCAGTTGACCTGCTCCTGTCTTGTGAGTATCCATTTTTTATTTTATTTCATATTGGAGTTTAATTTTACGCAGAGAACACTATTGGCTGTCTCTTTTTATTTGAGCATCTTTTAAACCACGGAAGGAGGAAACACGTGGAGGACAACCATCCTATATCCCATAAGCGGGGATCTAAACCGCTGTACGCCTTCTATACCAGAGCAGGTCCTAGCTCTTGGATATGTGAGTTTGCAATCAAGCCTTTATATTTTATTCCTTACCCATATAGATATACTGCACCATTGTGGTTTTGTATTTGTTTTTATATCTTACATAAGAGACGATCCACAAGAAAGACAGAAAGCAAGACAGAAAACAAGATTATTACCTTTGACTAAGCACTACGGACACTGCAAGATAAGACCTCTTCTACTTTATTTATCTATTTATTTATTTCATCTGGACTTTTATATATTTATTTTTTAAGCGCAGCCCTTTCTCTATATTTTTTGTGTCTTATCCTTAAGGGTTCTTGAGGGATTCCCTTTTTAGGGTTGCTGCTCATTTGTGTTATTTAGCGCTTACTCACCTGTTTTTATTTCATAATTTAATAATGTTCATTAGCTGGCAAATTATTTACTTTCTAAATTGCAGCTAGAAACCAGATGAAATGTTTTATCATATCATAATAAATGCCTTTCTTGTATTTTGCTAGTTAATTTGTCAATGCGTTTATGACTAGTCCCCAAAAGGTAAATGAATCTGGTTATATAATTGCATAATATATTTTTTTATCTAAATAAAGACATCACTGTGATTATATTGCAGAGGAAATATAGAACTACGCTGGATTTCCGAATTCACTGAAATTTCCTTAAAATAAGCAGAGACTCTATATAGTCAAAGTTAATAAGTGTATTAATGCTAACTATCTTCAATTAGGAATCTGATCATGTTGATCTATGATCCTATACAAGGTACCATTAAAATACATGCTGCCATCTTGTGGTTAGAAGTGTAACTGTACTGCATGTACAGTACATCTGATATAAATCAGCCATAGTGTTTCATAATCTTGCATCTATCATAGAAAACATATCCTTGAATTAAGATTTATTCCAAAATATATTTATACCGTATTTTGTGTTTAAACATTTGCTTATCTAATGATTTATTATACTTTTATAACATGACAGGAGGCTTCGTATTGCTTAACTCCACAGCAGTACATTCACACAGAGAAAAACAACCAATCAGAAAAAAGTTAGGTTCTATAAAACTCCCCTCCCCATGCATCATTGCCTCTTTCTTTGCTGCTCCTCAGTCAGTACAGGTCAGAGTACCACTGCCTCCTGCTCTTAGTGGGTGGCTTTGGGATATTATCGCTATTTATACTCAGTATTCTATATTTTCCTTGTGGGATTTTATTGCTATTTATACTCAGTATTCTATATTTTCCTTGTGGGATTTTATTGCTATTTATACTCAGTATTCTATATTTTCCTTGTGGGATTTTATTGCTATTTATACTCAGTATTCTATATTTTCCTTGTGAGATTTTATTGCTATTTATACTCAGTATTCTATATTTTCCTTGTGGGATTTTATTGCTATTTATACTCAGTATTCTATATTTTTCTTGTGGGATATTATTGCTATTTATACTCAGTATTATATATTATCCTTGTGAGATTTTATTGCTATTTATACTCAGTATTCTATATTTTCCTTGTGAGATTTTATTGCTATTTATACTCAGTATTCTATATTTTCCCTGTGGGATTTTATTGCTATTTATACTCAGTATTCTATATTTTCCTTGTGGGATTTTATTGCTATTTATACTCAGTAATCTATATTTTCCCTGTGAGATTTTATTGCTATTTATACTCAGTATTCTATATTTTCCTTGTGGGTTTTTTTTGCTATTTATACTCAGTATTCTATATTTTCGTTGTGAGATTTTATTGCTATTTATACTCAGTATTTTATATTGTCCTTAGGGATTTAGTCTGATATATTCAGTATTGTATTTTACCCTTGAGATTTTATTCTTATATATTCAGTTTTTCTTATTGTCCTTGGTAGATGTCCCCTTATACATATAGTATTATATAGTCCTTGTGGGATTTATTTACTACTTATACTTCAAGCTATCACTGTTTTCTTATCTATATTTGGATTTGTGGGGTCCTTCGGTCACCCTTTTCCCTTGGCCTAGGCCCCCTGTCCGTTTTCCACTTTGTGTATATTTTTCGGCCGCCTTGTCATGTTTCCTGGCGGGGTTTGTATCGCTCGGGGGCTTCAGGCGGCTGACTGCAGCTGCCTCCTCTGCTCCCCTGAGCTTCAGGACCACGGAATTTACCTCCGGTCCAGTGTGTTCTCCGGTCACGGGGTACCAGTGAGCCAGTGTGAGTACCTGGCGTCCGGTTCTTCTTCCCCACGCGGCATCCACACCGCGGCTGCCTCCGTCCGTGGACCACTTGGGTCCCGTGTTCTTTCCGGTTGCGGGGGTACTCGTGGGTGAACACGAGTATCCGGCAGCCGGATCTTCTTCCTCATGTGGCCGCTTCACTGCGGCCGCCTCCGCTGCGGACTGCATGTGTTCCGGGCGGGGGAGGGCGCTACCGCTCACCGCCCCTTCCCCTGTTGGAACCTGGCTCTGTGGATGTCGTTTGAGGGGTCTTTCTCCCCTTCTGTTACTCAGGGCTGGATTCAGTCCACGGCCTAAGCTTTTAGCGCCCTATGAGGGCCCACCACCCTACTCAGGATTTATCTACAGCCCAGGGGAATACCATGTATTTATGTATATATAATTTTTTTTACTGGGCTGGAGAATAGTCTCTGTACAGTACACCCTGCACTGCTCTGGGGTCCCTGCAGTTTGCATATCTCTGAATTAGACCGCAAACATTCTAGATCTACCAGTTCCCTGTACAGTGCTATAGGCACATTACTACCCTGCCAGTGGGTTTTACATTGGGAGTTATTTAACCCTAGGTTCCCCTGTTTTTTCATTACACATATATAGGGGACTCTACCCACGCAGATTGACCCTTGCGGCTGTCAGAACACAACACCCGGTACAGCCGGCTAGGTCTGTGCCCCATTGATTGTTCTGCTAGGTCTGTGCCCATTTGATTGGCCTGCTATGTCCGTGCCCTTCTGACTGGCCTGCTCTATCTGTGTCCTTTGTTCGGCCTGAGCTACCTGGGCCCGAAACCCCCTTTTGGCCGCAGGCCTGGGAGGATTTCACTGAGAAAAGCCCAGTACCCACTATTGACATGGAGATAGGTGGGTGTCTAGGCAATCACCCTGAGTCTCTAAGGGACTCTAGTTTGGATCACAAGAGGATGCGGCCCTCCATCACCTCGATCCGAGTATGATATTTTATTTTAATGAACAGAGAGCCTACCCCTCTCATATACGCAACCGGACAGTGTTTTGTTATTAAAGGGAGCGGCCCTCCCTCAACCTCAGCCTGATACTGAGCTGGATACAGAGGACATGTTTTGAGTGACACATTCACGTAGAGAGAACTGGTCACGGATGTAGACTCTACTGTTTGGTTATTAACAGGTGCGGCCCACTCAGGCTATCAGCCGTACGCTGACACGGAACATTATTAGAGAGCGCGGCTCTCTCATACACTCAACGCTCTACAGTGCCGTCCATTTGTTCATCACACAGGCTTGTACCTGTACAGTACAACGATGACTGCATAGAGGGGCGTCCCTTCTGCATTCAATTAGATCTAACGACCGTGCTACCGATTTAGTTATAGAGGGCTGCCTGATCATGCACGGTATACATATTTAGACTGGGTCTCTCTATTTCATCTCCTGTATTGGATCTACTGGATCCGGACCACTGTACCACACATGAGAAATACTCGAGATATAATATAACAAGGGTAGACTACTGCTTATTTATGCACCCTCCTGGAGACAGTACGGATGAGCCTCAGGTATTACAAGAGTGCAGGTTTTGTTATATTCTGTGCTATATAGAACAGACAATTGCATTCTGTTTTAGATATCCGGACCATTGCGAACAAACTGCGCAGACAGTTTTTCCCATATCGAGATGACATGAGATACTGAGACCTTTATGGAGCAAACGGACACTGCCTTGCTCAGATAATAAGACTAAGGAAGGCCCACTACCCGGTCTGCAGGTACACCGTACACATGGATCGCATGGAAAGACCGGAAACCCTGGTTGACTTGAGTGCCCTGGTCATTACAATCTTGGGATAAGATGACAGGAATGCCCCTACTCCTCTGAGCACATATCTGGAGAACAGGTTCGGAGATGGAGGCCCCTCCATCTATACTCTATATCCCTCATGGGAACCGTCTTTGTTTGGGTTTGCGCTAACCCACCTTTTCAACTACCATCAAGGAGACCTGCGAGACTCTACGGAGGAACCCGGTGTGCCCCGACTCCTACACGGATGTTAAGTCGGGTCACAACCTACCGCTGGAGTACGGCTCAGGATGTGTAGAAGACTCAGATAAGGCTGTCGACATTCTCAAACGGGACAACACATGATTCGGGCGGTTGAAGCTAGACCCTTCTTTTTTCGTTATATCTGCTCTCTGGAGTCGCCTGTCGTGAGCGAAGGGACCTTACGCCTTGTAAGGACGCTATGTATTTGCAGGACTCCAATCTAAGAAGGGAGGTATCCCTCTATAGGGAGACTTTGACTTCGGTTATTGAACTCACATTCCCGGTTCCCTTGACCTAGGAGACATCTCACCGGGTAGGCCGTGAGGGAACGAAAGATCCTACTCGGTTCTATTATGGAATTGGTGGTGGACTTAGTCACATTCCTTGAGATTGGGGATCTACCTGCAAGGCCACATCGCTGGGTAACACTGGCACGATCGGAGGAGCCACCTTACACATCAAGAGTTGAGACATTGTGGCAGTGTCTTCTTGCAGCCCTAAGTCCGCAAATGACTATCAACATTTTGCAACTACAGGAAAATGGCTCATAGGTCAGCTTGGCAGCTCATGGACTGGCTGCTAGGAAACAGGTCGCAACCCCACGTACAATGAATCTATCAGCGGATGGTGTTTTTTTCCGTACTTGGGATGCTTCGTCAGCTTGCATCTTCATAGATCCGTCTGCTGTCATTTATATCAATTTGGAAGTCCATTTAGGATTGTTTGGATAGCTCCCGGAATAGGTACCAGCGAAACAAACAGCAGTGAATTTGTTGACCCTCCCTGGTTTAATTTTAATAGTTTGGATTAATCAGGTACGTATGCAACTCCGCTTGTTGTCTCTGCTACCTGTCACCTGTTCTTATGTCTGTTTTCCATAAGTAGGGTTGTGATATTTACATATTAAGGTATTTTGGTTGCTACATTGGGTACCTACATGTTGTTCAAAGTACATTTCATTGGCTAACCAACCTGTTCGATTCTGTTTTTCTCTCGTTTCAGTTTACAGTCCATCAACGTTATCTGGTGTGGCAGTTCTTCTTGGATGGTGGACATCGTTGTATTCACCGTATCTAGGACTTCGTTCTAACCCATTATGTTTTCTGCCTTTTGTTCTGTTTTGTCCCAGCTTGAAAGAGGCAATGATGCATGGGGAGGGGAGTTTTATAGTACCTAACATTTTTCTGATTGGTTGTTTTTCTGTGCTGCTGTGCTGCTGTGCAGTTCTAGTAAAGAGAGACTAAAGCAAATACTCGCCTCCTCTCATTAAGAAAATTACACTAAAGCTAGCATAATCTACAATTTTCAATTATCTGCACACGCCTATATTTTTATATAAATATTGTGTCGTTGTGATTTACTTTGCAAAACGTCCTGGAACTTTTCAGTACATCAACAATTCCTGTGGGTTAACAGAATACCTTTTTATTCTGATATACATATGCTGGAGACCCACTGGATTTTCCTGTATATTTTTATAATGTTCCAAAATGCCCCACAGTAGTGTCTACCATGGAAGTAAGTTGATAAATAGCACTTATCATTTCCAGTTTTTTTTTCTATGGGAAATCTGAAAATTCAGACTGCAATCACATTGACGTTGGTGAATACCCGATATTTGCTATTATTCTAATGATTAGCATCTTGTTGGTAAAACATTGCATATGATGGTAATATCTTATTAAAGGAACACACTAAGCACCATAACCGCTGACATATCGTAGTGGTTATGGTTCCAGGAGGGCCATGGCAATCCCCCCCCCCCCAATTTTACAACAGTTTGGCTTCTTACCTGGGGTCTGCTGGGTGTCTCTCTCTGTTTCCACTACTAATGCCAGAAAGCTTGTGTAACGGCACCCTCAGCATAAAAGGGTTAATCCGCCAGTTAGTACATTAGTACCACCCACAGGGTTTTGGAACACAACCAATAAACACATACAATACACTCAGACACTCCCACACAAAATCCTCCCCTCTGCCTGTGATACAATTACCTTACACAATGGGTAATGTAATTATAACAAGCAGAGAAATACAATTTTTCCACATTATTCATAACTTGAAAAGTATGCATCACATTCACATAAAACTTACATTTTCAGAATCAGCATACTCCAAATACAAACATATGTCATACAAATTGGTCCAGTGGTTCAAAAGATAGATCGTAGTCCTTTGTGACCAAAGGAAGCATGGTTTTTCTGCCCAAAACCAGTTCCACGGAGTCTTCTATCCTGGAGATAATTGGGAAGTAATCAAATTATCTCCAAAGACAGAGGCAAAACTCCATTGAACAAATGGCAACGAAAGACAATAAAACACATGAAAACATATAACTGTGCAGCCATTGCACAAAACAGGTACATTCAACATATCCCCAGATAGCTCAGATCTGAGCGCACATTATTACTGAATGGCGCTCAGAGCACACACATACTGTTCAATTGCCATGGAGCCAAAGTCTTTCCCATAGTCTTTCATTATACGAATGGGCTCCATGGCATAGCTATCTGGGGTATCACCGCTCAAACAGGGCAAGCACCAAATGACCAGGCTTTCATGTCTTTGCAGGGGAAAATCAAGCCTTTTAACATGGGGCCATAATCCAAAGTCAACAGGCGAGCAACCAGGCTTCTCCAATGCAATGTGGCGAGATTGGTCTCGTCACAGCTTGAATCTCCTGAGCTAAATCCCACAGCATTGAGAGCACAGCATGTTCTAATAGTTATGATAATTGAAGTATTTCTTTAATACTAAGCACCTTAACTGTAGTGATTTTTGTGCAAAGAGCCGACTGACAATTATACATGCTGCTTTTTCTGTGAAAAGGCACTTTTGCGTTTGTCCCTAATGTCACCTATAGTACCTGTCACTTAGACAATCAGTCACTCAGAAAGCATCGTTACAGTCCTGCAATCTTTGAAGTATCAGCTTTCGGCATCTCCATGCTGTGCACGGAGACGTTGAACACTCTGCATAGAGCTTCACTGAGACAATTTATCTCTATGAGGAAAAGCTGATTGGTGCAGGACAGCAATTGCCATGTATGTGTATTAGCCCCTCTCCTACTTTACTTACTAAGTTGTAAGAATATATTAATAGTTTTGATAGTTTTCCCAGAGAGTCTACAGTCACATTTGAGCGGCTAAA